TGGAGTAAAGGAGAATGAAGAAGACCAAAGACACAAGGAAAGTATTAGCCCAAGAGACAGAAAGGGCCACATAAACCAAAGACTTCATCAGCCTGTGACCAGAAGAACTAGACGGTGCCCGGCTACCACCAATGACCGCCCTGACAGGGAACACAACAGAGAGTCCTGGATGGAGCAGCAGAAAGGTGGGGTGCGGAACTCAAATTCTAGTAAGAAGACCAGACTTAATGGTCTGACTGAGACTGGAGGAACCCCGGAAAGCATGGCCCCTGGATTCTCTACCAGCCCAGAACTAAAACAATTTCCGAGGCCAACTCTTCAGACAGGGATTGGACTGGAATGGAGTGATACTTGTGAGGAGTGTGCCTCTTAACTCAAGTAGACACAAGAGACTAAACGGGTGGCTTCTGTCCGGAGGTGGTGAGATGGGAGGGTGGAAAGGGTTAGGAACTGGTTGAATGCACATGGGGAATCGAGGTGGAAGGGAACCCTGTGCTCTCACAGTATGGGGAGAGCAATTAGAGTCACATAACAATGTGTGTATAAATTTTTGCATGGGAAAAAATAAAAAAATATAAAAAAAAGAGCTACATCTGCTAACCAAAAGGTTGGCAGTTCAAATCCACCAGACGCTCCTTGGAAACTCTATGGGGCAGTTCTGCTCTGTCCTATAGGGTCTCTATGAGTCAGAATCGATTCGATCGCAACGGGTTTCCATATTCCAAGGAACCCAGGAATCCGAGCTCCCTCCTCTCTCAGGATCTCTCAAGTCCGGGGGGCATGAAACCCCAGCCCCTCATTTTTAAGGGACCCAGGAGTCCCGGCCCTAGTCCCTCTTCCCTTAAGCATCCAGGCTCTTTCCCCGCCCTGGGACAGTGGCCGCCCCTACTCAGCTAGTGCGTGTGCAGGCAGGAGTCTGCACCTCCTTGGACCTCGAATACATTCCCAACCGTCTTGCCCACGACTCTTAACTCTGATGAGGTCATAGGTATAGAAATTGATCAAGACTCCCTCCCCACATCCCGACCCTCAGAAACATACTTGGAGTTGAACAGGAATGATTCTTTCTAGTATGCACCACTTCCACACCCCAGGACACAAATGAGGCACATACTAAAGGGTATCCAGGAATCCAGGCACCGGGCCCCCTCCTCCATCAGAACTGGGAGTCCGGGACCCCAGCCCCCTTCTCCTTCAGGCCCAGGAGTCTGGGCCCCCAACCGCTTCTTCTCCCAGGAGCCCAAACGTCCTAATCTTGAATTCCTATCAGCCCCTAGTTAGACTTCATCTCTCCTCTCCCAAAGCAAAAATCCTCCCCAAAACTGTCACGGTCGGACCCCGCTCCCGGCCGTCCGGTGCCGGGCCCGCCCCCCCTCCGGTCCCTCCCACTTTTCCCAAACAAAGCTCCGGGCAACTTTCTCCCCGGCAGCGCCCCGCCCGCGGCTCCCCAGCCTAGGCCGTGAGGTAGGAAGGCGCCGGCGGGAGCCGGGAGTCCTGCTTTGGGGTGTGTGAGTTGGGGTGGAAAGTTAGGAATTCGGAGTTGCGGTGTGTGTTTGTGGGACAGACTCTGCCTTACTGGCCACCCTCTTTTGTGCATGGGGTCTCGAATGGGAGTGTGGAGTTGAACTTTGGCCGGAGTTAGTGTCTGTGGATGGGTCTGAGTTGGGGAGATGCGTGGTGAGTTGGGTAGGACTGGGACGCTGGCGGGGGCGTGGGAGTGTGTGTGTGTCCAGGCCTGTGTTAGTTGGGAGCGGGAAGGACCCGGTGTGTATTTGTGACCGAATTGGTTTGCGTGTGTGATTTGTGGGCGCAAGGAAGGCTTCCGGGGTGGCTTGGGGGACTGTGGGGCATTCTGGAAATTCAGCCTGTGTCTTCCGAGGTTGGGGCTCTGGGGTGGTAAATTAGGGGGACCTTTCTCACCCGGCGCCTCCATCCCTTTGTTTGGTCACATGGGGGAGGGCTGGGCTGAGGTTTTGGCCTACGAGAGTCCTGAACGCTGCAGCGCCGCTAGGTTTGGCCCGGGGTCTTTGTCTGCCTGGGCCCAGGCTCCTGGGTCTGAGGGAGGAGGAGTGTGGGGGCACCGACTATTGGATCTGAGGGAGGAGTGGGCAGGGGCCCGGACTCCTGGGTCTGAGGGAGGAGAGAGCTAGGGGCTGGGACTACTGGGTCTGAGAGAGGCGGGGGCGGGGCCCAGACTCCGGGGTCTGAGGGAGGAGGGGGCTGGGGGTCCGGACTCCTGGGTCTAAGGAGGAGGGGCTTGGGGCCTGGACTCTGGGTCCTGGGAAAGCCGTGCAAGATGAAGAGCGGACAGGAGGCGGGCTCTGACTGTATTGGAAAAAGTTTTTCCCTGTCCCCGGCCTCCGGAAAATCACTGGGAACTCAAGTTGGAGCAGAGCCCACGGCGCAGGGGGAGGGGAGCAGAGGGGCGGGGCCAGGGACTGCAGGAGGAGGCTCCTTTCCCGCCTGCCCCTCCTCTGATGGGGGTTGTGGGAAGCTGGGGGAGGGAACGCCTGGGCCCTTTGTTCTGGATCTCCTGATGGCTGGGCTTCTCTGCCCCCCGGCCTGTGGTTGCGTGGGTCTTCCCTGGCCTCTGCTTGAGTTTCTGCCTTGAGTCTCTGCCCCCCTCTTTCTGGGTCTCTGTCCCCCTCTTTCTATGGGTCTCTGTCCCCTTCTCTCTCTGAGTCTCTGACCTCCTGTCTTTCCAGGTCTCTGTTCCTCTCTGTCTCTGGATCTCTGTCCCCCTCTCTCTCTGGGTCTCTGTCCTCCTCTCTGTGGGTCTCTGTCCCCCTCTCTCTGGGTCTCTGTTCCCCTGTCTCTCTGGGTCTCTGTTTCCCTGAGTCTCTGTCCCCACCTCTCTCTGGGTCTCTG